TTACAAAGTGTTATGTACCCTACAATGCCATTTACGTAAAATTTTAAAACCAAAGACCATTTATTCATTGTTTATGTAAACAAGTGCATGTAGGAGTGCATTAAAACTTTCAAAGGAAGATTGCACACCAACTTCAAGATAATGGCTACCTCTGAAATGAGTACAAGAGGATCTCAATTGTATGTGTAGCGTTTCATTAAAAAAAAAAAAAAACCTGAAACAAAAAAATTTTTTTTGCAAATTTTTACTTTTACAACATGAAGGGATACAGAATCACCACCACATCCTGAATATCTGAATTTGTCTTTCTCTCAAGGCCTTGAAAAATTGAAGTTCAACGCTAAGCCTGACTTGGAGGAAGTAGATAGTGGTAAAAATAAAAATGTAAATGAACAAAAAGCAAAGTCTATATTTTGGCTCATGAAAATTAAAGTCTAAGAAGTTTTAAATAAAACCTCAAAAACCTGTATCTGTCTGTGGTCTTGCTTTCATGACCATCTTCTATTATTTATAAAGTAATATCATCTAAGGTACTAGGTATTACGGCTTGTATTGTGCTGGTGCTCTTTGTGGGTAGATTTCTGGGGTTTCTTTTTATTTTCTTTTCAAATAATCAGCAATGTGTCTGTTGATACTATCTGAAGGTTATCATGTGAACTTAATACTAAAATGAAAATACCAAGTCAAGAAAAAAATCAAGAAGGCCCATAAGGTGCTATACAACCTTGCTCACCTAACAGAATTATCTAATTTTCAAACTCATGTATTCTCTTAAAGCCCACATGAAATGGAAGAGCAATGAATTTTATTATGGGGTAATACTTTAACCTAAACTGGAATAAGATTTAACTTCTGAAAGGGAGGTTTCTGAAGCTTTATATACCATTGTGATATAAATAACACTTTTAAACCCATGGTTTGATAGAGCAATATAGCTAAAAGGTTGACAGAAGAAAGAAAATTGGGCAGCTTAAAAAAGAAAATGAACTAAAAAGTTTTCAGAAATAGGGAAA